TAAGAGGTGTACACCGGAGAAACCGTTCGCATCTCTGTTTAGCCCGTTTATACGGCCGACATCATCGCACGCAGTGTCGTGATGACCTTATGCATTGAGAGCAGTAGGGAAGTTCACGGATGCGTTTGTATATACGGCTAGCCATGGATAGAGCTATACGACATTATTGTCAGATTTGCGCTTCGCATATTCTCTGAATCAGCACCCTACACCGTATGCGACGCCTCATCTCTGGCGCTGTGACCGGTGTGTCGATGCTTGTATTTAAATCAGTCGCACTGTATATGTATTATGTCGATGGATAGATTACCCTGTACACAGTCATCGAACCGGCATCACTAATAAATCCGCATAAATTTGGCAAGCTTGGGAGCCGGTTGGGTGAAGACCAATATTACCTGCGCAGGCTGGGCGATTTGATCCGCACACGGATAAGCCCGAATTCCCGAATGGCCATCACATCTCCCAACACCCTGCAGTGGATGCAGCGCCTCCAGGACCAGGACAGTAAGATCAATGCCACGAACATGCGCGCTCGGGCAGCGAGAGGGAACAAACGCACGGCGGCTGCGCCGGGGCGCGTGTGGTCACGGAGGGGTGAGTACGGGGTGCAGAGGGTAGAGGATTCTGCGCGGTTCCATGCTTGGAGGGCTTATTGAGAGCTGAGTCCGTGGATGTATGCCAGACTCGAAGATGGCGGCTGGACGAGTAATTGACCGCGTGAGTTCCAGCGAAGTGAGGGTGCTACGGCTGTTTGCGCATACCACGTGTGCACAGGCTTGTCGACCTCATGCAAGTCGCGCGCCCACAGTGGCATCCGCTCAAGTCGAGGCTCAGGTGTGCTGCGACTTCTTCCTTTGACCATGTCATGGGCCAATACATGTCAAGACTTGTGTTGTCAGTGTCAGCGCCTCTTATAGAGAGGCTGAAGTTACTTTTCTCAGGTATGTAGCCACGCGTACGCCGAAATGGTATGGCGCGGCTTCATGATAAGCTCTCATCCTCTCGTCTAGTTAGGAGGCGGGATGACAAGCTCGACAATCGTGAAGACACCGCCATTAGGCCAGACGCGACGGATCAAGCACATCCAACCTGCAAAGACATCGCAGATTCAGATTCCATCCATCCCAACCCCAAGACCATACTTTCGACACCGCTCTCTGAAATTGGAGACAGCGTCATTTATCCCGACCGCCTTGCAACTTCATGTCGCTTTCGTTTTCTCGACGTTGCGGCATTCTTGGACTCGCATGTCCTGCGCATAATGGAATATCTTTCCTCCTCGCAAGATCCAAAGCAAGACCTGTCCCAGATCTCTGTCCCACCTTACGCAGCCATTTCCTATCCGTGGCGTGACCTGCAGCTCCTAGAGGGCCAGTCCACTCCATCATTCTCCGTATCCGGAGCTCTGCACGCAGACCCCATCTCCGTCAACGTCCTCCGGACGGCCTGCGTTGCCGCACGCGCGTACGGCTGTGAAATGCTCTGGCTTGACCGCCTGTGCATATTACAGAATCACAAAGCGGACAAGAACTGGCAGATACGGCGCATGTTCCAGATATACAAGAGCTGTACGGTCTGTCTGGCATTCCCAGGAGGTTTAGTCAGGCTTGCGAGGCTCGACGACTCCACCACATGGCTTGATCGCGTGTGGACGTTGCAGGAAGCAGTAGCCCCCGGAGCCGACAAGGTCAAAGTTGTATTCCAACTCACCCACCCGTCCTATTATGCCTTCCTCTTACATCGCTGTGACGTCGGGGGATACCCTGAGGCATTACGACAGTCCCTCTGCCTTAAGGCCCAGGTCGAATGCGAGACCATGCCGCATGGTCGGTTCGTCGACAAGGTCTTGGAAGAGGGCAGCTCGGCGACTTGCAGTTTTTCGAAGTTGCACCTCCTCTTGTGGGGCATGACCGGAATGTTCCATCTACACGCAGATCACAAGCATCTCCCCGTGCGCATCTTTCGCGCAGCCGAAGCGAGAATGCTGGACAGCGCACTCGACTTTCAGGGCTTCACGCTCTGGATAAGTGCTTACACGCGCTCTTCGTCCCGCGCGGTGGACATGGTGCTTAGTATCATGGACCTCTTCGGCGTAAACCTGGACGTGGGACAATTTGGACAAGATGACCGGACCAAAGCGACGATTGCGATGCTCCGAGCACTAATGGCAGATCCCCGCGCGACGGCAACCTGGCTCTACGTTGCACCCCGTATGACACCGTCCAAGGAGCTCTCTACGTTGCCGCAAATGCCAGAAACAAGCGAGAGCGGACGCGCGTACATTCATACGACAAAGGGACGGGTTCTTGCGTTTGAGGCTATCGGGCGAGGTGCAAACATCTGGCGCACCGACGGCGCACCGAGAGGGGAGATGACGAACTCTGGCTATTTCATTTTTTGGGGCAAGGCCGCTCTATTGGTCTACGAAGACAAGGACGAGCGACGATCTCCTCTGCTGCCGAAAGGGTACGATGATCGCGAAACATGGGCGATTGTCGTCGGTCGATTCGAAAACCTGAACCGTAATCCGGTTACGTGGAAGATACAAGGATACAATTCTGCTACGTCTGCTAAACCAGAAGGGCTGTACGAGCTGACCCTCATGCTCGTAGAGAGGCACGGATATGGGCTGTACCACCGCGTGGGAATGGAGAGGGAGATCGACGAAAGGAAGGTTGCGGGATGGGATTGGAAGTACCGACGTTTCCAAGTTGGAGGGCCGGGTAGAGGAGAGAGAAAAAGGTTCGGGGTGTCAACTTCTGGCCCCGTCTATCTGCCTTGCGTAGAGGAAGAAGAGGATACCACGACCATGCGCATAAACTAGCTTTGTAATTTATCACAGACAGCAGCTTCATAGAAGCCTACAATACACGGAGACCGAAGGCGCAGGGCAGCGACCTGGAAGGCGGCAATGATGCGGTCCCGCTTCATGGCGGAAAAATCCTTGAGGTAGCTGACAGAGTATGCAGCCTGCGTTATAAACACGGCATAAACGTGGCTCCCCCAATAGAGGGATGAGAAAGATTATACCAGACCACCAGTCGTCGCAGTTCAGGCCCTTGGCGCCTCTGGCCACGGCCTTCCGCGCAATTCTACCGGTCTCGCTGAAGAGGTTATAAGCATTTTATACATAAGCACTCCGTCAACCATGTGCTTGACGAGGGCTAATCATTCTGGTGCGACTCACGGCGGCGGTGGCAGGAGCGAGGACCCGAGAGATTGACTACACGAGATAGACTCCGCCCCTTGAGTGCGCCAGAGATGTGCCACGGCAAACACCCCAAGCAGGAGATCGCCCTGGAATATGCCAAGGCGTTCCTGCAGCCATTAAAATTAGAACAAAGTTGAAAGATATCGCTGCCACGCACCTGCCGTTGCTGAAGAAGAAACCACCCTTGTGCTCGATGTGCTCGAACAACTTCACTGCGGAGACTCAGGGCGGCGTACGAGGCAAGGCGCTGGCCCGAGGAGCCTCGCCGTCTGCACTTGTAGACGGCGCATCCAGCCGAAGGAGAGCGTGATAAGGGATGTTTGGCACCGGGAAGGCAGAATAGTGCGCGGCACAAGCGCAGAGAGCGCCGCGGGGGCGCAGAGAACATGAAGCGCGGAGGGTGCCGCGGGCTGCGCTGGTGAGCAGCGCAACGCGGCAAAGTGCCGTAGAATCTCTCGAGCACCGCGCCCTCCCAGCACCTCCTTGCACCATCCTGCCCTCTCCGCGCCCGCTTCGCGTCCAGGAAGCGGGAAGCGCGCCGCTGCCATCGCAAACAAAGGGGGCGGAGAGCGCGGTGAGGCAAACTAGGCTTAAATTAGGCGTTATGGAAGTGCATAGGGCGCAAGGAGCACAGGGATATGTGCTCCTAAGATGCGAAAATGCGAAGAACATTTGGTGGGAATGGCGGCCCGGTAGCGGCGAAGGCAAGTAGTGCAGGGTGAGCCAGACATCAGCAAAAAAATCGGTTATAGATCAGGGATGAGTTGCCAGGCAAGCGCCTAACAGGATGGCGAACGCTGGCAATGCAAGGACACGCGATACCTGACTGGTATTGCATTGCAAATCGTAACTCAGACCGGTATGTTATTATAAGTTGAATCCTATCCTAATACCACTAAACATGACATGAGTTGCTCGCCCAGATCTCGGTTATGACATGACGTCATCCGTCTCGCTTTCCGAGACGTGTTTCTCGCCGCCCATCGCATCCACGCCGTCTGCCCACCAAGATTCCTTCGACCTCCCCTAAAGTCACTCCCGGCGAGTTTCCTTTTATGAAACTGCATATATAGAAGGCGTCGATGGCCTTCCGTTCTCGCCGCTTCTTCCTCCTGGTCACCACCATACCCCGCCTCTGCTTACTCCCTCCGAACAGT